GAAGAGCTCAGTTCTTTCATGCCTGTTTTGTGAACTGAATGCAATGGGGACAGGGGTTGACCCAGTGGGCCTCACCAAGACAAAGGAGTCAGAGTGGTGTCCATAAGTAGATGAGAGTTTATCTCCAAAAGAGTGGCACTGTTTAGAAAACTCAGCACCTCCCATGTGTCGCCTTCAGAGACTTCCACAGAGGGAAGGGAAGGGGGACAAAGGTGGGAGGAAGACCAAGAAAGAGACCAAAAAAACTCAACGAGGATCTTTTTTTTATTATAGGTAGGAGGACAATGAAGAATACAACGAACGAGGAAAATACAGAAAGGAGGATGAAGAGATGAATGACCGAGGAGAGAAGACAGAAGAGGTCTGGCTCATGCAGCAATTGAAGAGGAACTGAGCAGGATGTACCTTCTCCTCAGCTCCGAGCAAATGCAGAGCGTGCTCACTCCCCAGAGCTTGAGAAAAAAGCACATCAAGCTGATTGTGGAAAGCTCTACAATTCTCCAAAGTCCGGGTTCAACACAGGTGCAGTACCCAAGTGTGGGACTGCACAGAGACCATGAAGAAGATCTTATGGAAACATTACATCTCTGGCTCCTTCATAAGGCACCTTTGGCTAAAATCCTCCATTAATTCCAAACATAGGAGAATTAATCAAAATTTAGCAGGGATAGCTACACAACTGTAAATAGCTACACAATGATTGAGGTTTATAAGATTATGCATGGGAAAGAGCAGGTAGAGAAAGAGGTACTTTTCTCCCTTTCTCACAATACAAGAACCCGTGGGCACTCCATGAAATTGCTGAGCGGTCGGGTTAGAACGGATAAAAGGAAGTACTTCTTCACCCAAAGAGTGATTAACACTTGGAATTCACTGCCACAGGAAGTGGTGGCGGCTACAAGCATGGACGGCTTCAAAAGGGAATTAGATAAGCATATGGAGCAGAAGTCCATCAGTGGCTATTAGCCACATGGTATAGATAGGGACTCTGGGGCAAGTGATGCTCTGTCATCTTGGTGCTGGGGGGGGGTCAACAGTGGGAGGGCTTCTAATGTCCTGGCCCCACTGGTGGACCTTCTGATGGCACTGGTATTTCTGGCCACTGTGGGATACAGAGTGTTGGATTGGATGGGCCTTTGGCCTGATCCAACATTGGCATCTCTTATGTTCTTATGTTCTTAACTGCACAACTAAGCACAGAATCACAAAATCAATTTCCTATATTCAATTTTAAGAGTCTATCCTTTTGGAAAATGTAAAATAAAATTATATTTTAAAAATAATAAAAAAGAGTCTATTCAGAGATTTATCTCTAGGAAGCCGCTAATTCTGGAGATAAAAATTCCTTCTCTACTCATTTGCAGGCTTATGCTGGCAGTGAAAGCTGACAATGTCTACTGAGACATTCAAACAATGGTAAATACATAAATGCTATCTTTTGCTAAAAAAGAATTTTGATGCTTTATTTACAAATATTTAAAATACAGAATTGTTAAACTGGATGCACTAAAAATACTCTTCAGTTGTAAGACCTCCTGGTATTGGTACTATCTCATGCAACATTTATCACGTAGAAAGGGAGGAATTCCTGAGGATTTAGAATATGATTCAATCACCAATTGTACATCAGGTATCCAGAATGCCTAATTATGACTCACACAAGTGATAAAGGCAGCAATAGCTCTCATGGCTGAGAATGTTTAAGAGTACTTTGACTGTTTTAATCACCTATTGAATTGGAATAGATAATAAGTTGCCTTACTGGCAGTATCAGTCCACAAACTTCAGTATTGTCTAACTGGCAGCAGCTCTCTCAAGGTCTCAGGCACAGTAAGGCTTTCACAACTTCTGCCACTTGAGATCCTTTAAAGAGAGATGCTGGAGACTGAAAATCAAACACACAAAGCATTTCACTTGTCACTGAGTCACAGCCATTCCTGAATATGAACATCTGCCAGTTTTTGCTCAGCAAAAACTGTTATGTGTGCTGTCAGATAATACAGAATCCAAGTACCACAAATGATGAATTTTAGCAAATTTCAAAAAAAATTTTAAAAGACCACCAAGTAAGAACATTGAAATGGCATAAAACAGTCAATAGTCTGTATTTACAAAACTCCAGTTAGGAAGATACAACGCAAATACTACTATTATTTTAAGGTAACACTACTTCAAGTGATACTGATTAGTGAGCCAAGCACACCACTGTTGAAAACTGCACATTACCCCTTTCTACTTCCATATCTATCACCAATTACTTCCTTCGTAAGATGCTGATTATAAAGGTCAATATGGTGACATAAGAATAAAAGCTGCACTTCCATGAACAGGATCAGCTGAACAAGAGCAAGGTTTTCAGTAGGGCTGTCTGAAGCTCACTTTCAACAAACTAATGCTGTAATGCATGTTGCAGAAAGCCACCTTGCCATGGATCTCAAGCAGGCCCCCAGGCATTAAACACAGAGATCTGCCGGACTGTGTATTCCTCCTTTCTGGCTGCACCCAGTTCCTCATCTCCAACACTTCTGCTCATATTTCTTCAGTCGGTTAACCCCTAAGGTCTTTCTGTTGCTGAAACTCTTTTATTGCTTGTCTTGAGGATTCCTTCAAGTCCTGGTTAGTCTCCTGGTGATTTTACTTTTGGGCTGATCTTTTTTTGGTACAGAAGATATCCTTTGAACACCCTATTGCAAAAGTGCAGAAGGAAAAATAAATTATGTATTCTACGTAATGAAGCAAGTTATGGAGATATCCGTAAAACACTCTCCCCTTCCCCCTCCCACTGCTTTCTGGTCCACTTATTTTTGAACAAACCACAGCACATCCAAGAGTGCTCTTGCATGACTAACAAAACTCACAGGTAAAATCCTCCCATCTCAAACTACAGCAGACTGCTCTGTTGGCCATTCTTCAAAATTCTATTCATCCAAAGCACATCAGGAAAATGTTTGGGTGGTTACCCAAGCAATCATTATACCAGCAGTATCTCTTATTCCCAATGAAAACTGCCTCCCCACCCAGAAGATCATAGCCTCCAGAAAGTTTAATGCTAACCAACAGAAATCAAAATGTTCAGAGGCATAGGGGAAAAGAACTAAGATTACCTGGATTCCTTGCTGAAGTGCAGATTAGAAGCAGTGTTTGGGATTAGGGAGACTTGGGAGTTCAGAAATATGCTGTTCATTCATCTGTGTCAGGGTCAATTACAGGGACATTAGTAGACAAATGTCTCAAGCAGGAGACAAGCGAAGAGTCTTGACAGAGGAGTTTGAGGCAAAATAGCTGTTTTTTAAAAAAATAACTGGAACAATTTCAAAAGCCATCTCTGATCTTGCCATTTTCCATTCTTTTGTCACTTTGTCATTATGAACTGGAATTAAATATTTTTAGAACCATCCAATATGAGGCATCCAGGTACAGCTAAGGCTACACTGTGCCAGAAAAAGCACAGCTGTCAAACACCATGGCTGCAAAACGGACTCTCTTGTGCCCAGAATATTGAGAACTGGATTCTGCAGGGGTGGTGAAAACACAAAATTTTATTTGTTCCCATCCAATGATAATCCAATAAAAAAGAAACTGAACCACCACTTATATTTTTAGTGCCATGAAAAAAATCATAAATCCGTTTATGAATTCCAGGAGTGTCTGTTGTGCTTCACTGTTGGAAATTTCACTCAAAAATGTTTTTTCTATATGTATTATTACACGGACTAGCATACACCCTGCTGATTCCGCATGTCTCTTACCACTATTAAGGGCCCCAATATCCTCAGCTGAGCACTTCTGAGCAATGTTCACTTTCCTCCTTTCCCAGCCCATTTTCAATGCCAGAAATAATGTTAGCTTAGTATGGCTCCAATATCTATACATACAGGCAGAGTCTCTCAAGACATCAGGATAGAAATAAGACACTGAAGAAACACACAGCCTTCCTAAAAGTGCCCCTTCTTGTAGTGAACTGGCAACAAACCACAAACAGTTGACCAAATATTGCTTCATTTGTATAAGGGGACACAACATGGCAAAACAATGATCAAATTTGCAGCAAGGTGCATCACATACACACAATACATTCACAATCAAAATGTTATGGGAGATGGCTTGTACTGCAAACAAAACCTATTGTATGATAGGTCCTCAAACTGTAGACAGACCAACAACTTATGTGATATCCAGTTGGACTTGTTCCTTTTATGCTTTCAACAGCAACCCCCCTATGCCATATTGCAGAATGCTTGGAATCAGTGTTCCCTTTAAGCTGAGTTAGTGTGAGCTAGCTCACAGTTTTTTAGCCTCTGGCTCACACATTTTTGTCTTAGCTCAGGAAGAATGGCTCCAGAGTAAACTAATTTATGCAGTAGCCAAATAGCTCACTCACAACTTTAATACCAACAGCTCACAAAGTAGAATTTTTGCTCAGAAGATTCCACAGCTTAGAGGGAGCACTGCTTGAAATCCCTTTCAGCATCAAATTTCACTCGTTATATGGTCAGAGAGCTGCTGTTTGAGAAACACAAGCTTAAAACAAAGGCAATTCAAGCCATTTTGCTGCCTCTCCTGTATTGTCCCACCAAGCACAAAGTAAGCTGCAGAAACAGCCACATGGCACTCAAGACTGGAAGCAGAGGGTGTACACTAGGTACATTTGCTTCACTTGGGCATCAAACAAGCCCTGGCTCAAAATCCCATAAGTGGCATGGAAATAGTCACACAGTTCATTGGGTCCCCAAACAATTAACATTACTAAGAGCAACTCACTTCTAAGGATGTCTAAAGAAAGGTTAAATAAATTTAATACATTTAAAAACCACACAAATAAATGTTCCCAATAGCACCATGCCTTCTATTCTATGTCTCATTTTACCAGGTTCAACAATTTCTAGAGTAATAGCAATGACCACAAAGAATACTCAAGGCACTTTTATACTGTTTAAGACCCCAGACTGCTTTCTAAAGAAAAAATGCTCAATCAAATATTATAAAAGCAAAACACTTACTTTTTGGCAAATCTCCGGTACTAGATGCTGAAACTGTCCTGCTCCTATCATGGGATGGAGTGCTTTCTTCTCTTCCAGTTCCAGTTGACTCTTCAGAAACAGCCGAACCACAAGCCACAGAATCTAAAGCTCCAGAGAATACTGAAGCTGAGAATTCAGAAAACTGGGACTCTGGAATTTTATGACGTCCATTTGGCAATTCACCATTAAATTGTTCGTAGGAACTACTATAACTGTAATCACTTTGCACATTTAGCTCATCAAGATTATATTGCTCAGCATTTGGGCATTCTTCCTCTTCCTCATCTTCATCTTCAAGTTGTTCTTCTAGTAAGAAAGGACCATTTATAATGTGGCCATTTGTTTTTGGGGACTCTATCCAAGCGGTGTTCGTAGGTTCCAAGTTGAGAAGTTCCTGTTCAACATCATCATCTTTTTCTGCGTTTTCTTTTTCTGTGTCTTCCTTTTCATCCTGATCTTCTGTTTCACCTTAGGGATAATAATATATATATATTTATATATACACACACTGAATTATACTGTCACTTATAACATTATGAAATGATTTCAGAGACAAACACTTTTTGAAATGAATATACAGCATTTATTTTTATTAATTTAGTTTATTGATTTGGATTTAATTTGATTTACTATTAACACTCTTTTCATGAATAAAGGAATAATATAATTTATAGTTCAACAAGCAAAGTTAATTGAACGACAATGGCTTATGATGAAGTACATATTTTCCTTTTCCTAGTTGTGTGTCAGAATGGTATTGAGTATGGTGTTCTAGATCAGTGGAAGTCTCCACAGTGATTGCACTGCACTGTGGACTGTTCCACACAAAACTTACTACACTGAGCAGGTAGTTCATCATAAGAGTAACAGGACTTCGCTCTGGTCATTTTTGTGTTTCAGTTTGTGTTTCAGTACCATCTTCCCTTATTCAAGCATTTCTTAAACCTATATTTGTCTCAGCCAAGATTCCAATTTCCACAATGATTCAAATATCAGCTATTTAAGTATGGAAACTGAGAAACTAAAAGACACCATTTATTCCAGGTGTAGAAAACACACTGTACTGTTAGTATGAAGCCTCAATTTTTGCTTGCAATTTCTTCTAAGAGGATCATTGAACAAACAGGGCTCAAATGCAGTCTACAAAAAAGGCATTGCTGGCTTGTGTTTAACATTAGAATGTATGCTAAAAGATATGAATTACCTTGACATAGTAACAGCCACCATAATGAAATGGAGCAAGAAAGGATACAGCAATATTAATTAACATATATTTAAAGCAAACATGATTAGTGAAAGGAAAATGGGCAACATGTTACAACATGGGCTATAAAAACAGAAAACAGCAAAATTATGAATGGTCTTGAAGATAACTGTGAAGACCACTAAGGCTTGGACAGAAAATAAACTCAACATGACATAACCAGGATTAAAAATAAATGATCTCTAGTTGGCAAATTTCTGGCATATGCAGAATAAGACACCCACCAAAGAGCTGGTTATGGTAATAAAAGCAAAGGCTTAGAGAGAAATCAAATGTTGGAAACTTCACAGAAGCACACTCAATTTGCAAATGACCCAGATCTACACAGAAAATAAGAGCAAGTTGACATGTGGCAGCATAGTGTTATGCCAAAGTAAGATCCATACTACATATTCATTTAAGTTTCCTATATGTACTTTGAAGATGGGAATTTAGGTGACTTTTTGTATTTTTGCTTATGACTCACAATGTTCACAAGGAGAGGCATGCCATATTATTTCTTAAGCAAATGCAATATGATGCATGTTGGCTTAAGTTTTCCCAATTTAATGGGACATCTTTGTCCTGGTGCAGTTGTAGCACTTCTAGTTCCTGACTATGTTAGACTATCACAAACACCCTTCTTGTACAGGCATTCCCCCAAACTCCCTTTTATTTATTTTTTACAGTGTATTTTATTCTTTTCCACATCACATGTTCATAACACAAATATCATATAATATTGGAATGGTATACGAATTATTCCTTCCATTTTTACTCTATAACACTGCCAGTGTCTACTTTAAATAAAATTATTTTCTTATTCACTACCAGTGATTGCTTGTTAAACAATTGCTATCATCTCCTCAAACTCCTAGTCAAATAGTACATCCCCTCACTGTAAAATCAACGCCCATGCCAAACCGCTGGACCTAAAGACACCAAATTCAGGGAGAGTGTTCCTACCATGGTGTAGGTGTTCACTAAGAAGGGATTTTTAGAAATACGACCCCTAAGTGAGTCAAAAGGGGTAAAATGTGCTCCCCCCATTGATTCCTATGCAACTGCCAGGCAGCTGCCTCTCTGCACCCCTCCCCACTCTCTGATTGGTCAGCTGCAGAGCTCAGTGTCCTGAGGTTAAAAAACCCAACAGTTACAGGGGACTGCAGAGAGCTAATGACAGTTGAGGAAATCAGGAGTGGCCAAAAACCACCTGTGAGGTGAAGCAAAGCTGCTGACCCAGCCTCTCTGATGGCTTCCAACACACTCCCCCCACCTCTTACATCTAACAGGTGGTTGTATGTCAGGTGCAAGCCCACCTCCACAGTGGCTTCTAATACTCCCCCCTCCCCCTCCTACACTGGACAGGCAGCTGCCTGTCAGGTGTAGGAGAGGAAGTGGGATGGCTTCCAATACACTCCCCCACCTCCTACACCTAAGTTGTCTGTCAGGTGCAGCCCCACCTCCACAGTGGCTGTCAGGTGCAACCCCACCTCCACAGTGGCTTCTAATACTCCCCCCTCCCCTCCTACACTGGACAGGCAGCTGCCTGTCAGGTGTAGGAGAGGAGGTGGGATGGCTTCCAACACACTCCCCCCACCTCTTACATCTAACAGGCGGTTGTCTGTCAGGTGCAGCAGCGGTTGCAGGGTGCTTAAAGCCATGAGGGAGCCTGCTCCAGCCCTGCCCCCACAGTGGCTTCTAATACTCCTCCCCCCTCCCCATCCTACACTGAACAGGCAGCTGTCCGTCAGGTGTAGGAGAGGAGGTTGGATGTTTACAGCCGCTGGGGAGGCTTGCTCAGCAGGATTGCCTCCCCGATGCCTTTATATATGATCCTACAATCCCCTTCAACACCAGACAGGCCGGTGTCTGTCAGGTGTAGCAGCAGGGCCAGGGTATGAATGTTTATGGGGAGATAGTAAAGGACATTTCTAGGAGCCATTTCAATGCATGCCTCCCTTATGAACATGAAGAAATGTCCACCACATCACCACTCCCTCACACCAACTCCCCCTCACACCTCTCACCTCTTACTGCCCCCAAGAAAGCTCCTGGCAAACGTCGAGCCAGATACACCAACGCTACAAGGAGGAGGCAACTTAGGAATGTGGCAAAGACATTTGCACATAGTGCTCCTGCAGTGCACTGAGCTGCACAGGCCAAGTACCAGCAAGATCACCCTGAGCTTCTCAGAACAACACAGTCTCCATATGAGCAAAACAATGCAGGAACACAAGTAGAGAGGCCATCACTTTCATGGAAGGTAGCAGGAGTTGACTCAACAGACAACTGCTTCTTAAATGGACAGTTCTCTGTGGCCTGCTTCAGAGTAAGCTCATCAAGCAGCCTGGTGATCCTAGCACCTGAGGGCAGACCCATCAATGTGGTCTACAGAGAGGTCCTTCGGGTAGAGAAAAAAAAGTACGTATGTCTCACTTCATTTCTTACACTACAGTCTTCTCTGTTAGAATTCCTACAACAAATGTCACATTTCAAATTTCACATCATCAGTATTATAACTGGATTTATGGAACTTAAATACCGTAGCGAAGCATGGTTAACAGGCTGGTAATTTAATAAACAGATAACTTTATTATTATTATTTTATATCAATTAAGCTTCTACAATGTTTCCTTCATAAGTCTCAGGCTGTTTCTCATAATATTCTATCTTCTAAGTTTTATTGACTTTAATTGCTATCATTTAAACAGTGTCTATTTCTTCATAGTGGAGTTCTTGGAGGTTGTCACCTCACTTTGGGGCTTCAGAAAAATCTGAAGGGGGTCTTTTCCTGGGACCCCTCCCTGTGGGAGGTGATGGGGGGATTCCTCCTGAATGCCTTACGCACCCTGCTCCTGTCATTTAAATTTTAGTCTTACTTTTCTCTCTATGAGGGCTCTAAGATGATAATTTCCTATTCCTTTATAGTCTTCAGAGGAACTTGAAAGTTCTTGTAGAGTTCTTTAAGGCATGTCTCTACCGGGTTTTATTATGTAACTTCCTTTTCTAAAGGTAAAGATTTAAACATAATGATTCAAGAAAACGTAGCAAAGACTATGAAAACCACCATAGAAAATATATTGTTACCACTAGTCCATAGTGAAATAGAACCTATCAAGTCAAAAATGGAGGAAATAGCAAACCAAATTAAGCTAGAAACAGAGGAAATTAAGAAACAAATAAATGAAAACAAACAGGAAATATTAAAAATCACCACCACAAGTTATAAAACAGAAGAGAAAGTCCATATCTTAGAATATGAAGTCCAAGAGCTAAAAAAAAATAAAAATGAAAAGATAGAAGAAACTTTAATACACTTTGAAATGGACAAGGCAGCTTTAATTTTAAGGTGTCAGAACATCCCAGAGAGCATAGAAAAAAATTTAAAAGAGGAACTTTCCCAAGAACTAGCCCAACAACTAGAGATAGGAACACAAGAAGAAATTGCAGCTGAAATAGAAGTCATCTATAGAAGAAATTCAGCGTACGCTAGGAGAAATGAGATACCACGAGAAACACATATAAATTTTTTAAAGAAACCTGAGAGATAAAATACTCAAAGCAACAACTGAGAAAAGGGTGACAATCCAAGGATCAGAAATTAGATTTTTAAAAGAAGTACCATGGCAAGTGAGGAAAAGAAGGCAAGGATATGGAACTTTGACCAATCTCCTGAGGGATAATGGCATAACATATAGATGGCTTATACCTGAAGGTATACTATTTAGCTATGGATCTAAAAGACATAGGATAGAATTGATATTTAAAGTCAAAAATGTTCTTGACAAATATGGGGAAGAGTTGGGATGGCAAAAAGAGGAAGACAAAGGAGAGGAAGAAAATGATACAGAAGAAGAAAAAGTGGAGACAGATGATCAAGAGGAGAAATCAAGCAGAGAAAAAGCAACAATAAAATCAAGAAGAAAGCCAAAACCACCCCCATCGCAAATACAAACTAGATATCAATACAAGAACAAAGCACAAGATAGTAAAAAGAAAAATGGCATAGCCTAAAAAAATTAACATTCTTTCTTTCAAAGTGAATGGTCTTAATAGCCCACACAAAAGACGGAAGATATTTCATCAAATTCTAAAAGTGCATGCTGGTATTATTTGTCTACAGGAAACTCATATAAAAAAAGAAGACATGAAATATTTAGAACATAAGGCCCTAGGAAAAGTTTTTGGAGCGTCAGACAACCAGAAGAAAAGAGGAGTGGCA